TACTGTGCTGAAGACAAAAAGGTCAGTAAAAATGGGGTTGCTTTCATAGTTTAAAAAGTAATTTCTAAAAGAATCTGATTTTGAAAACAATGTATTTGAATTTTGAAAATAAACTAGTATAAAATAAAATAAAAAGTCATTTCTAGATCAGTCTTGAAATACAATATTGTGAGTGACAGGGTAATATCCATACGCATACAAGAAAGCCCAATGAATACCACTAACATTCAGATATATGCACCAAGAACTAGAGCCAAAGAAGTGAAAATAGAAGATTTCTACCAACTTTTTCAGTAAGAGATTGATCGAACATGCAATTAAGATGCATTATTAATAATGGTTGACTGGAATATAAAAGTTGGGAACAGAGAAGAAGGATTAGTAGTTGGAAAACATGGACGTGGTGACAGAAATGAAGCTGGAGATAGAATGATAGAATTCTGCACAAGCAACAATTTATTCATGGCAAATACATTTTATAAGAAACATAAATTTAAAAAAAAGAGAGAAACGTAAATACAGCTATACACATGGATTTCACCTGATCAGACTGATTACATCTGTGAAAGAACCTCTGGAGAAGCTGTGAAAACCAGACCAGGAGCTGACCATGGAACAGACCACCAACTACTCATATGCAAGGTCAAGCTGAAGCAAGGTCTGTCCTGGAGAGATTAAAAGCAGGCAACTCTTTGAAGGCAAGGATTTTGAAGCACCTTTTTATATACTTTTGGTATGTTGCCAGGAGGGACCAGTCTGGAGATGGACATCATTCTTGGAAGAATGGAGGGTCAGTGCAGGAGAGGAAGACTGTGGATGAGATGGATTGACAAACACGGTAACTGGCATTAGGGACAGGTATGTTAGAGACAGTGAGACTGGCTCAAGATTCAGGGCTATTGCTCATAGGGTTGCCATGAGTAACAGCTGATTCAATGGTACACAATAAAAAACAAAATACAGAGTTTTTAGTTGGAAGAACTTTATTGTAATGTCTGTTGTGGCTAGGTGTTATCAAAACAACCACAACTCATAGCAACCCTATGAATAATGGGTCTGAAACTGGCCCTATCCTGTGCTATCCTCCTCGTCTCTGCTATACTTTAGACTGTTACAGTCATTATGTCTATCCATCTTGCTGAGGATCTTCCTCTCTAATGCAGACCAGACTACCTTTTTGACTGTGTCATCTTTTTCCAATGACTGGTTCCTCCTGACAGCATGCCCAAAGTATGTGAGATGAAGTTTCACCATCCTTGCCTCCAAGGGAGCACCCTGGTTGCACTTACTCCAGGACAAATCTGTTTGTTCTTTTGGCAGTCCATGAAATATTCAGTACTCTTCTCCAATCACAGTTCAAGGCATTGATTCTTTTTCTGTCATCCTTATTTACTGTCCAACCTTCAGATGCACACAAAGTAACTGAAAAGACCATGGATTGGATTAGGTGCACCTCAGACTTTAAATTGATATCATTGCTCTTAAACACCCTGGAGATCTTCCCAGTGCAACACATCTTGTGACTTCTCGACTGTTGCTGCTGTTGTTCATGGGTGTTGACTTTGGATCCAAGTAGGAAGAAATCGTTGAGAACCTCAATCCTTTCTCCATTTATCATAATGTTGTCTACTGGTCCAGTCCCGAGGTTTTCTGTTTTCCTGATGTTGAGCTGTAAACCATATTGAAGGCTTTGATCTGCTGCAGTAGGTGTTTCAATTCTTTTACTTTAGCAAGCAAGGTTTTGTCAACTGCATAAAACAGTTTGTTAATAAGTCTTCCTCCAATCCTAGTGCAGTATTCTTTTTCAAATATTTCATCTTCCCAAATGATTTGCTCAGGAACAGCCTGAATAGGTATGGACAAAGGATACAATGCTGATGTACACCTTACTTGATTTTAAACCATTAAGCGTTCTCATTGCTGTATTTGTACAATGGCTTCTTCAACTAGGTCAATGTTTTGCATGAGCATGATTAAGTGTTCTGGTACTCCCATTCTTCTCAATGGTAGCCATAATTTGTTAGGTTCCATATAGTCAAATGCCTCTGCACAGTCAATAAAACACAAGAACACATCTTTTTTATATTCTCTGTTTCAGCCAAGATCCATCTGACACTAACAATGATAGCGCTGGTGCCATGGCCTTTTCTACATCCAGCTTGAATTTCTGGAAGTTTATATTCTAGTCTAGCAATTTTTGCACCATCTTCAGTAAGATTTTACTTGCATGTGATATTAATGACTTTGATAATTTTCATATTCTGCTGGATCACCTTTTTTTGGAAATGGGATCTCTTCTAGTCAGTTGGCCAGGCAGACATCTTGCAAATTTTTCTGCATGAACTGGTGATCATGTTTGTTAAAACATGTCAACTGGTATCCCATAAATTCCTAGGGCCTTCTTTTTCACAAACGTCTTCAGTGAAACTTGAACTTTGTCCATTACTATCAATTCCTGATCATATGCTACTTACTCAAATGGTTCTGTGTCAGCCAGTTCTATTTGATAGAGTGATTCTGTGTATAGTGACGTTAGCCCCACTACAGTGCTTGAGGCTGCTGCTGCGGTGCGGATGGCATTTGTGCACTTGCTCCTTTTTTTCATTTGCTTTAAGGGGTCCAACACTTATCTGCCAATTTGTTGCACTTGGGGGGAAGTGACTTGCATGTTTCTGCTTCTTTTATAACTTACAAATGTATATGCTTGCTTGTTTATCCTTAGCTCTTGTGAGCCCAGCTCACAACTTGTCTGTCAGTTTACTGTACCAAAGTGACATGTAGGTTTCTGTGACGCTGGAAGCTATGTAACTAGGATTTCAAATACTAGGTGGTTCGTGCATGGTGGACAGGTTTTAGTGGAGTTTCCAGATTAAGACAGAGTAAGAAGCAGAATTAGCTACACCCTTCTGAAATAATAGCCCTTTGAAAACCCTACAAACAATAGAAGAACATCTACTATAGGGATATGTAAATTCAAGTAGAAATATACAGCAGGGTCACAAATAGGAGTTTTGTTTATGTCCAGAATACTGCCACCAATACATCACTGCTTAAGAGTGTGCTACACTTTCAGCAACTCAGTCACAGGCAGGACAGCACCGTTACACAAAAGGACATGGGCCCACTCTCTGCCACGGCTAATTCCTATTAGTGCTTATAAAGCTAAATGAATAATAAATCACACAGAGCTTCCGTGAGGAGGAATGGTCACTCAGAGACTGGATTAACTACCAAATTCATGTGTGCCTTCTCTACACTACACTACTCACTGAGCAACATTTCTAGGTTGCATCTGCTTAGGGAAAGGAGTCTCTTCAGTGCTGAATACTGCATTTGGGATGTTTTAGGAATTCAGACATTTGTCAAAGAGGTAGTAAAGGACAAAAATCCCATTCTAATACGGTTCTTCTCAACCAGTCTGTAATTTCCAATACAGGTTCTTGACAATGATTCCTCACATTGTCAAGCAGGGCCAAATCAAAGTTACTGTATGATGATGATTATGATGTACCTGGAAATTTATAGCAGAATTTACCTTCTGAGGCTACTGAGAAGGTGAGTTAAAACATACACAAAAGGTCAAGTCAGAACAAATACTGGATATACTATGAGCTATCAGAAAGGTCTCCTGAAAGAAATGCAGCCAAAATGCCCCTTACAAGGGAGAATGGTGAGACTCTGTCTTGCATACTTTCAGCACATTATCACAGGAACCGATCTCTAAAGAAGAACATCAGGCTTAGAAAATGAGAGTTAGCAAAAAATAAATGTAAAAAGAGGAAGACCCTCTGTGCCACAAAAAGGCACAACGGCTGCCAACAACATGCAAGCCTGACAATGACTGTGAGGATGACGCAGGACTGGGCCAGTTTTGTTCTCTTGCATGCAGGCATGATAGGAACGTGAACAGACTTGTTAACAACACTAGATAAAAGGAGTCCTGGTGACCCAATAACTTAAGCCCTTGCCTGTTGATCAATGGTTCAACACCACCAGCAGCTCCACAGGAGAAAAGACCAAGCTCTGCTCAAGGGAAAGTTCCAGAACAGGGAGCACTATGGGACAGAGCTCCTCTGTCCTGAGGGGTTGCTGTGAACAGAAAATGACTCAACAGCACACAACAACCACAAGTTACCACCAGGTCTGGTCTGACATCGAGATATGAAAGAAAGGTTTATTGTTATGTTTAATTACATAAATAGGCAAGTTGGAGCCATGAGATAAGAGCATAAAATGTGGAACAAAAAAGTCAGAGTCAGTAAAAATTTATTGTATTAGAAATAATAAAGAACTTAAAAACATTAAGAAATAAACATGCAAACCTATACAGTTCATTGGATTTAGGAATAAAGTGGGACTTCTGAACAAAAATATTATATGCTTTAAAAAAAATACACTTAAAATTTCATATCTTTAACACCACTTGGGGGGCATGATGGTAAAACTACAGAATTATCAAATGAATTATATTCTAATAAAATTATCTATACCTTTCAGAAATGCGTTTTTTAAAACTTCTGTGTTGGCTAAACTTAGCTACAAGATTAAGCTACTTTAGCATAGTCAAGAAAGTACATTCTCCTTAAAAAAACAAAACTCATGCAACAATGAATGAGGAAAATCCAAGTTTTCTGTACACTTTGTTAAAATCACATTTTTTTTAAAAAGGGGGAAAAACCCCAAACTCAACCTATAGCTTCTTGAAAACAACTCCAAAACCTTATGTTACATGAATTGATAAACATATTAAACACAACAGCAGAGAGAAAAGCCCAAGCTTCAACTATTGTGAATACTTTTGGCACTTTTAACAATACCAACATCGAAAAATATAGACTTTTCAGCTTTACCTGATTGAAATGGTTCACATACACAAAAAGCCTAGTAAATTTAAAAATAAATTCGAAGGAAATAAAGCCAAGTGAATTTGTGCTTATTATCCTAGCTTTTCTTCATTTTCATAAAAAAAAATGGAATAAAACTTTGAGAAGAACACTTACTGGATGATGAGGTCGCAAATGAAAAGTATGAGGTGATACTACAGCTACAGCAAAGAAACGAAGAAATACAAAGCTGCTCACAGCAGAGTACTGAACATGAGGGTCATCTGCAGGAAAACAATGGCAAGATGTCATGCACAAAACCATGGAACAGAAAAAAAAGATGATAAAGAAAAAACAAACAAACATAAAACAAACCAACACTGGGAAATCATAAAAACTAAAGTGGAGACCAATAAAACTTGTCCAGTAAGGATTAAGTTGATGAATTATACTAATGATTAGGACTAAATAAATCAATCACATGACTACCAAAAAAATGAAGAAATAAATGACAGGCAAAGAAAGCAGAATTTTTAGAATTAATTTGAAATATCCTTTGTCTCATCTTTAAAACACCCTGTAAATTATTGTAGCTACGTGCTGCTGAGTCAGAACTAACTCATAGCTGACCTTCCAGTGGGTTTGTGGAAGAAAACTGTCTATCTTTCTCCTCCAGTGCAGTTGGTGGACTCAAATCTGGCTCTGGCTTGGCACATCTCCTTACCCACTATCCACCAGAACACCTTTGGGTCTAATAACAAAAATAAAAGTAGAAGCTAGAGCCACCTAGTGGTAATAACCAAACTTCTCAGAAGACTGTTTATAACCTTTGGCTATTATTCCAATTTTTCTCTCAAAAATGTTGGTTTTAGCAAAGTCTGGGCAATAAAAATTATTAGAAATCCCTAGTTTCAAAAAAAAAAACTATAGTGCAAAAGAAATCTACAGATAACATACAGACTATTTGTGCCTTTGAACTCAGTCAAGATCTTTGATCTTAGATCTTACAACTGCTTAATCCCAAAATCAGACAGTGAGAAAAAGAATTTCTGGATCTGGTGTGAGTTTTAACTCTTACCAGTCACTCACTATGTGACAACTGACTAATCATTTAATCTGTAGGTTTAATAATACTTGTTTCAAATCCTCAATTTCCCCAAGAAAATGAAAAGATCTTTTGCTAACAAAACACTGAATACTGAACTCCAAGGATCAAAGTGGAGTTAAAGAGATACATATCTGCATTTATAGAATAAAAACCCGTAAAATGTGTTTTAGATCATTTATGTAAGCAAGAATTATATGGCTCACATCTATTTAAGGCCCAGATCACTGGGAGACCTATCAGTAGCATGTGCTTTGGGCCTTGCTTGCCTGCTGGTCATTTACTTATCTTCTCTAAACCTTTCCTTTCATTATCTAATTGATGGGAGCAGGAATAACCCCACTTGGTGCTGGGAAGATGAGAAGAGATTCAGGCGGGCTAGCAAAGTTCTTGCTTGCTGACATATTCAATAGTTATCATGGTGGAACTCTTAAAAAGGTGTGATTCCAAGCAGCATTCCTTCTTTCCATGTGTTTATGTTTCTATTCCCTTTATTTTTGTTACCAAGACTACATTTAGTATAATTGTTTGAAGTTAACTGTTTATGACTTTTGCTATATTAACAACAATATAAATCTAGGTTTGTATTTATCTATGTTAACTAGACAGCTTGCCCCCATCACTTCAGAACAGAGTAAATTTTAAATAACCGTGTAATATGCATGCATGCATATACACATATACACACACAGTCTCTTAAGAGAACATAACGAAATAGCACAATCTTTCCAGACTTACAGCTTCATATCTAATACTCAACTCAATGTCATCATGTCAGAACCAACTCATACCTGACCCTCAAGGAAGTTTTCAGAGGCTGTAAGTCACATGGGAGGAGACTGCCCACTTTTCTCCTTCAGAGCAGATGATGGACTTGAACTGCCAGAGAGGCACTGCCTATGGGTTACCAGTGCCATTTCCTACTCACTACACCGTCAGAGCTCGTACAACTTCACAAAGCTCTGCAAAACTGATTCAATAAGGGCGTGCCTTACCCATTCAGCCCTACCCCACTGGTCCCAGTCATAGAGATCTAGAAAATTTATTTCCATATCACAGAAATCTTAAAATGGAAAAAAAAAAGCCAAAACTACTGGGGTTTGTAAATAAAAAAATCCAATTCCAACTACTGATAATCAGCAAGAGTTGACTATTAACTTTACAAAATGTTTTAAGCAAAGCCTTGACACAGTTGTTATCATTATAAAATTAAGCATAACAGTTAATGACATACCACAATTCTATATAAATTACAACAGAGATGTTTATAAGATCTTCTGCAATTGCTTCTCACCACCAACACTTTAGCATTCTCAAACTGTTGGGCAGTTTGAGAAAACCTAGTCAAGGAAATGGAATGAAGGATTCTGACTGTATGAATGCATTAACAGTGAATGTACTTGGTAAAAGTAATGAAGATACATTTTCAGTGTATTCAAAAATCTGCTAAGGATGTGTGTGGCTTTAAATGTTTACTTATCTACTGCCAGCCTTTAAGAAAACCAAAGATTGGATTTCTAAATCATAAACATTTCACACAAACCAAACACCTAGGAAGATTTGGAAAAGGGAATGGCATGTTTTAGTAATATAGAGCACTTACTAGGAAATCGCTCGGTCGCCATCTGCCGTAGAGAATAAAAGGTATCGCACATTACAGTGGGGCAGCTCATACTGGATTTTACAATTGTGCTGAATAACTTATCTACGTAGTAGCGAAGATTCTCCTATAAGATTTTAAAAAGGTAAACAATAAGATTCTCCAATACTCTTTAAAAAATAGGCAATGAAAATAATCACAAGATTATTAGAAAGTTCCTAGTTAGGATTCTAAACTCATGCTTCTTTCTGAAAACTATGACAGATAAATGACAATTTATATTCTGATCTAATTTTATAAGTCAAGTTGAATGTATGTGAGAAACTTTCTAAGAAGTAACAGACAGTAAAATGATCCAAAGGACAGTCAGAGAAATAACCTGGATAGACAAGCATAAGGACAATAAGACACTGTTGTCTACTCTAATGATTGTGACCTTGACACAATCATTATTTTTGAATTACAGACCACTAAAAGAATTAACTAACCAAGTTACTGTGGTACTTGATTAGTTTGACCCCAAAGGAATGGCCAGAATTAGAAATGAAATGAATAGAGCTCTAATTTACTATTATTATTATTAGAGCCGTAAGAGATACTAATTAAAAATAATAACTATAAAATGGAGTTCAACAGAAAAATTAAACATTCTAAAACCTAGCTGTGCTGTAATCAATCCTGCTATTACTACACCATCACGTCAAGAGGAAACAGCCTGGCTTCCCTCCATATAGCATTAATACAAAGCAAGTGGGAAACAAAAAAAATCATTAAGAATAATCTAATAGGTTGCTATAAAAGATAACAAAGACATACTTTATTATTTTCTACATTATCTCCCTCTTTCAATTTAATAGGATCAATTTCACAGGACTTGGAAGATTCGCATATCTGAAAAGAAAGAAATTTTTCAGTTAATACTTTTTCCTAATTGGGCCAAATGAAAAGAACTATTTTCTAATAGCAAAAAAAGCTAATCTAAGTATTAAAATGATAAATATTACCAATTTTGCAATATTGCAAGAGAAATCTGTAAAAATATCATAAACACCAAGTATACAAATCTAGTAGTGAAGAAATAATTACTTCAGTTACTCTATAATGTACACTTTTTTCTGTTGACAGAAAGGCCAATTATTTATTGCATTCTGAAGTATTCAGCTTCATTATTCCAGAAACACATGAACGTATAAATAATTCTCACCAACCACAAAACCCTCATTATCAGAAGTATATTCTGTACCTCATCTAGAATAGGTTTCAAGGTTACTTTCAGGTAGTGCCTTCCCACGATTTTCATCATCTCATCCAGACATCGGGTAGCCAAGGAATTTCCTCTGAAAATTGTGTTTGCTTCTCTGAAATAGAAACAGAAATAAAGTGAAACTAGGCATAGAACAAAGATGATAAAACGAATACATTCGCTTTGGGCATTTAAAAAATTTTTATTTTATTACTCACTTTAAACCATGACATTATGCTTTTTAAATTTTTTAAAAATTATACTAGTTTATTTATAAATTTAAAAGACATTGTTTTCCCAAACAGATTCTTCCAATTTCCCTCATTCACCCACCCATCAAATTACAACTCCATGATTAATAGCCCCCTGCCCCTGACATTATGGTTTAAAAATTTATCAAAATGTAAGAAAAGGTAAAAACAAAAAAGGAAACCAATATGGTTAAATATCTGGGATGCTTATTGTAGTTGTTAAGTGCCATCGAGTCAAGTATGACTCACAGTAACGCTAGGAACAGCCAATCTGAAACGTGCCCTATCCTGTGCCATCCTCAGCATCTCTGAGACACTAGAACCCACTGCTGAAGTCACAGTGTCAATCCATCTCCAATTATTAATGGCTGTTCGCAGCTGTTTCTCCCAATTTGGAGTGACTTTCCACATTTCTCTGTTCATAGGGTTTTTGAAGGCCCATTCTTTTGGAAGTGGATGGTCAGTCGTTCTTCCTGGTCTAGTCTTGAAAGTCTGTCCTAATTTAGAGGCTCTGCTGCAACCTCTCCACCATGGGTGACTTTTCTGATACCTGAGACACTGCACTGATCCCAGCATTACCCCAAAGTCAACCCATACAGCAGACTCACAGACAAGTACTGTACCAATGGAAACAAACAATAACACTCAATCGTATAGGGTACAGAAAAAGGGAACATTCTATTGATGGCCTCTTTATAGACTTCTCTCATTCAAAAAGAGTTTCTTCCACCATCCCCTTATAATTCCTGGTACTTGTAGGCAGAGTTAAAGAGTGAGGTCAAAGTCAATGATAGCCACCTTCTTAGCAAATGTTTACTAGACCTCTGCTATTCCTTCCCAAAGGCCCCAAACCAAACACCAAACCCATTGCCCTGGTCACGTCAATGCACAGCAACCCTACAGGACAGAGAACTATCCCATAGAGCTTCCAATGCTGGGAGTGAAGTATGTGTACATATGTGTTAGTTACTACCCAAGAAGTTAGTCTGAGTCCACTCAATGGCATTGTGTTAATCATGGGGTTGCACAATTCGATGGGTAGGAGGGTGAAGGAAATGGGTGAAGGATCCTGCATGGAAAAACAATGTATTTGAACTTTGTAAATAAACAGTATGAAATAAAAATGAAAATTAAAAAAAAAAGAAAGACAGGGTTAGTGATTTACTTCTGCAAGTTTACAGCCACTGAGAACTCCATAGGGTCTGATATATGTGAACCACCACGAATCAAAACTAAATCAACAGATAGGGGTTTGGTGTATGTAATTAATTGTTCTGTACTGCATGGAGGGTGGGAATCCACCTAATTGCTTTATTTTTATGCCACATTTGTATGCATCAGAGTGGGAGGTAATGGATATGGAAAAGAAAAACCTGCTGACCGGCTGTTTTGTGACACAGGTATGAAACACAATGTGAATGAAGAATAGTGTGAAAGACAATGTAAACAAACTTTGTAAACAAAGCAATGTTGTAGCTGTTGTTGTGTACCACAGCATCAGAACCGACCCACAGCTGACCCTCTAGTGAATTTTCAGAGGCAGTGAATCACATGAGAGAAGACTGACCTTCCTTCTCCCGAGGAGCAGTTGGTGGACTTGAACCATGTGCCTTCGGAATTGAAGCACAGCTTGTTGCCACTGGGACACCAGAGCTCCCTTAACATGTTGCCGCACACTTTTAAACTGACGACGGTGCTTAGAAACACATTTAGCCGTCATTTGCGGCAACGTGTTAAACAAAGCAATATAGAATAAAAATTAAAAAAAAAAAAATCTTCACTGTGTTAAAGAAAACCCACCACATTAATTGTTACCTATAATGGTGGCAGACATTGTTCACAATTTAAAGTACTGCCTTTCAGAACTTGCTAACCAATATTCATGCACTGTCAACTCAAAGACACATGGTTAAAAATCTGTCAGCTCCAGCAGAGAGAGGTGAGTAATCACCTCCTATGTCATTAACTGCCTCTGAAAACCTGCCGAGGGTCAGCTGAGTCGTTTCCAATTCAATGTTACACAACAAGACACAGTTAGCTGGAAATTCTGGTGGCCTAGTGGTAAGGAATTGTGCATTCAATTCAAAGGTCCATAGACTGAATCCAGTTGCTTTGTGAAAGACCGATGGGCAACCTCCTTCCATGTGATTTCCAACTTCTGACAACTCAACGGAGGGTCAGTTATGAACAGGCTCTAATGTGAAGACACATAATGAGAACATAAAGTAAAGCTTACCTCAATACAAAACAATGAAGAGTAAAAAGGCAATTTGACAAGCTCAAGTTCAACATCACATAATTAACCTTTAGTAAGATAGAACTCTTACTGTGTATCCTTCAAGTCTAATGCAGCCACTGCAGTGGCGAAAGGAACAAGTTTATCATGGTGCAGCAGCAGTCGGACCAGTGGCAAAACAGCCTCATTTTTATCTCGACATATTTCACTCAAAATGTAAGCAGCAGAGGCAGATATGGGCTAGAATACATAAAGATGGGAATAGGCACAAAATCAAGATTAATTTTCATGGTTCATAATGAAAGTTCTAATCATCTGTAACCTTAAAAGTGATTCACATAAGCTAGTTAACTTTATTGTAGCAAATGCTACTTAATTTTCTAGTATAGATGAAATGTGGAGCAGGAAGAGGAATCATAGTATTCAGGCTCAGAGAAATAAAATATTTTATCTATTGACTTAATGATTTAATGATATTTTATCTATTGATTTAATTGATTTTATCTATTGATTTTCTGAAATCTTTCATTTTAACATTTTTTTTCTTCCTTTTTCTTTTTTTTTCCCTTGTTGTGTACTGTTATGCATCAGAGAGTTGGACAATGACCAAGGAGGATAGAAGGAGAATTGATGCCTTTGAGCTGTGGTGCTGGAGAAGAGTATTGAGAATACCATGGACTGCTGGGAAAACAAACAGATTCATCCTGGAAAGGGTTAAACCAGATGGCTCTTTGGAGGCAAGGATTCTGAGGCTCCATCTAACATACTTTGGACATGTTGTGAGGAGAGACCGGTCTTGGAGAAGGACAGCATGCTTTGGGAGGGTGGAGGGACAGCGCAGGAGGGGAAGCCCCTCTATGAGGTGGATTGATTCAGTGACTGGGATAATCGGGATGGGAGTGTCAGAGACAGTGCGACTGGCACAGGACAGAGCAGAGTTTAGGGCTGTTGTACACAGGGTCGCTATGAGTCACAAGCGACTCGACAGCACATAACAACAACAACAACAACTGCCGAATCGGATCTGACTGGCATAGGAGGAGACTGCCCCTCCTTCTCCAGTGGAGCATCTAGTGGATTCAAACTATGCGTCTTTGTTATTCCCGCACAGCTTCTTGCCACTAGGCCACCAGAGCTCCTCATTTTAATATTCTTAAAGTACCTGTACATCTGGTGATTTTAGCAGCAAAGTTTTCAAAGGTCCATAATACTCAGAAGGAAGCACACAGTCTTCTGTGTAGCATATATTTAACCGAAGAGACCCCAAGTCATCAGTTTTGGAAGACTTATTTCCATTGTCTTTTGGTTGCAGTAAGTACCTAAATAAAAAAAAAAAAAAGCAATTACTAGCTTGTGGTGTTAATGAGTATCTAAGCTACAGAGGCAAATAAACAGCCAACCACATTACAAAAATCAACCCAAAGAAGTCAATCAGAAAGGTCAACTTAGTCATTAGGTTTAAGGATCTTCCTGAGCCACAGAATATTCACCTAAAGAGAATGAATACAGATGGGAGTCAGATGTTCTATGTATAATATAATCATATTTAGGAAAAATAGAGCTAAAATGGCCTAGAAACGAGAAGCTGAGCTGTAATCCTCAAGGTACATGGTTCAAGGCCACCAGCTGCTTTTGGGAGAAAGATGGGCAATCTCCTCCGTGTGATTAACTGCCTCTGAAAAACCCACGGGAGGGTCAGCTCCAACTCTACGGTATACAACAACAGTAACAACATAACTAAGGTAAAAATAATGGAGTCAAAGTGGTTAATAAAAAGTTTTACTAGTCTTTTGGATTGTTGTTGTTTGTTGTTGATTGCCGTCAAGTCAAGCAAGACTCATAGCCCTCTGAACAAATGACCGCCTTTCCATAACTGTCATCATTTCACCAAGTTTATTGAGTTTCTATAGGCATGTGGTTTAGGAAGTGGATGCCACTCCTGCTTCCAAACCTGTTTTACAACTGGGAGCTCCACCAAACACAGACCACATTGGGAAGCCATTTTTGATATGATTTTATCATATTTGATACCCCAATGGCACAAGATTCAGCATCACAGCAACCCAAGTTACTTCATACTGCACATTGACAAAGAATGATGTACAAAGTGGAAGAGTGTTCCTCCAAATATAACAGCACTAGTTTTACTTAGCAGTGATTAAGTGTTGTCAAATAGAATACAACTGAGAGTAGATTAGGAAAATATTAAAGACTTAAAATCCAGTGTACATAAAAAATAAATTTTTACCAATTATTTTCTTTTCTTAAAATAGTTACAATAGATGAAACTACAAAAAGGTATATACTATTAGGTACTGTCAAAGAGGATTTTCTCAGTTGCCAGAACTTTTCACCACATACTGCTGGACAGGTATGAACGAATCTGTGGGTTAGAAGCTGACAGTTTAACCAACAAGAAGATAGTTTTGTTTTAAGTAAATCCTACATGCAAATATTAAAAATGTTAAAAATGGAAGATCTGTATTTATAAAGACATTTATCTTTACTAACAGAAGATTCCAAAAGGCAGCACGGAATGACAAAGCAAATACTACAATGAAATGTGCGAGGAGCTAGAGTCGGAAAATCAAAAGGACCGAACTTGTTCAGCATTTCTTAAGCTCAAGGAACTGAAGAACAAA